GCGGTTTTCGTTGCGATAAGTTCATCGATGTGATGTAGTGTAGTGATTGTGATTTTCCAAGATTTGTACCCTCCCATTAACCTAATATTTACTAGTGATTATTCAAATGTGCACAGTTTTCTAAGAAGTATAGTATACAGTAATTGTACGTCAGTTGATAAGGCTTTCACGAAGATTTGTATTTTTAGCGGATTTCCCATATAGGGAATAAGCTATTACCGTAGTACTCATGGTAAGACCTGGACGCGGGACCGATTTTTTTTTCGTTTTGAGGTCCCTATAGGCCAAAAACACCATCCGTTCAAATTCATATATATATATATATATATATATATATGTCCGTTAGCACGATAACTCGAGCAAAAATTATCCGATTTTGATGAAATTTGGTATAAACGTGTAAACCTACGTTTATTCGAACGAGTTCGCGATCCAGCATGATCGGACCATGGGAACGGGGGTTTACGGGGGGTTTTATGGGGTAAAAATAGGTTTTTCCCATTTTTGACCAAAAAAACATAAAATTTAGCAATTTCTTTCCAAACCATTTTGTAGAGCTTAAAAAAACAAATAATTTAGTATATTGAAGCGTTATTATGCGCCTAATGGTTACGGAGAAAATTCCGAAAAATTGAGAATTTAAAATTCCCATGTTATTCTTATGGAGAATAAGTAAACTGTTGTAGTTTGCTTGTTTATGAACATATTTTGATCAAATTTGGAAAATGTTTTTATTTCTTATATACTATTAACATTTTACAAAAAAAAAACAGTTTTACCCTCCCTGATGCAGCAAACCTAAGTACTTGTCAAACTAATTCTATTGAAATTGGGAATAAATATTATATTTGTAAGTAGACATTTCAGTGTAAATCAAACCAGTCAAATGGAAATTCGCTTAGTCTGCAGGTTTGCTGCGGCGGGGGTATTTATTTAAACTGAGATAGTCCCTTGATTTTGGTTAAAGGTTTGCCACATCAAATTACATAATCAGTTCAGTTATTCAGTTATTGTTCAGTTATTAGTTTTATAATTGCTTTAGGATTTAAATAAAGAGAGAAACCATAACGATGTAGTAGATATTGCAAAGTATCCATGGTAAAACCTAAGTCTGGTACTTTTGTATTTACTTTTGTACATTTTATTTTCATTGATATTCACCATGTATTTACTTACATCGTCTTGATTACGTGCATAAGCGTGTTACACTCTCACTGTAAACCTACCTCTCCGATGTTTATGAAATTTGGGTCAAACGTATAAACTAATACCTTTTGGATGTGTTATTGAACTAGCTAAATCCAAATATGGTCTACGTTTTAAGAAACCAGTTTTTAAAATCAAAATAAAAACTAACATTTTAATTTATCAAAATTTGTTTGAAATCCATCAATATAATTGAAACTGAACCTAATTTTAGAATAAAAAAATACGAATATACCTATCAAAAGCATAAAATAAATATTTTCTGTCAATTGAGTAGGGCTATCATTTTTTTAAGAATTTGCAGCTCAGGAAACAATTAATTACTGTAGTGCAAATTTACCATGTAAAACCGGCAACGTTGTTTTGCTAAGCATGTATTGACCGGCACTGCTGAGCAAGATCAGTGGTGTTTGGGAACGTAGCCGGAGCATATTTAATAAGCTTTAACTTTATATTATACTGTGTGGTTCGATGTGCTAAATGGAAGCTTGATACAGTATGATAATAATTTGTAACCATCTGACGTCGGCAAGGTTACGCATGCGCGAGTTGGATCATCTTTACGTAAACACTGAGTAACATGTATAACTCATAACTCATATTAACCAGTATTTGATCAAATTATGAAGTAATCAAATCTAGGCAAACAAAAGTTGAAAATAATGTTTATGAATGTTAGCTGTAGCTGTATGTTATGTTAGAGTTCAACATCCTGAAGTTATGTTGGTCCTATATGCACTATTCCTAAGTACTATTAAATTTCATTTGAAGTAGTATAACATTTTAGCTAACAAAATATCTTCATCTCTTGGATGGATACAGAATAGTATGATGTGATTGTGTCCAATTTGCATATAAATTTCAGGTTTTCTACAACTTCCAATCTTCTCTTCTCTTGAACATTTATGTAGTTTTAACTCAAGATAATCTTCATCTTTCGAATTTATCACAATCTAGTGTCTTTATAAACGCACAAGACTGAACAAAACATATCAGCATCAACTGCTTGCTCAATATACGGTTAGTGATTGAACTTTGAGTGAGGTTTGAAGCAAATAACCAAGTGTGGGCACCTTATTTCTGGATGACTTATAGCCCTTTTAAAATAACTACTGAGGTTGACAATTAAGTAACAAATTGGTACTGGCAAAGTCATTTTACTGAATGGATGTGTGAAAAAAACAGAAAGTATTCTTCTGAAAATTAACATCACTTACTAAAAAGACCCTCAAGGAACCTTATTGAAAGTTGCCTACCTACAAGGAGATCTCAGGAAGAATATTACAGTTTGACTTATACATTAAAGGAATTATTTTCACACTATTTTTCATATCTATACCTACTAGAAGATCATACTGACAATCTTATCGAATATTATCATCAAGGATTCCTATTTGGTGAGGACATAGCGAAGCATACTTAAATTGGTGATATGATGGACAGTAAGGTAGAATCTTACTGAAGTTTGCCAGCATGGACTACTAGGCTCTAATAGATCCCTGCATCTCCGTTTATCTTCCACGTCTACACCATGGGTACGACGAACCGAGGAGTGCCTAGGTCGCGGTCAGTAGGTGGCCTCGGTCGTCCTGACAGCAGCTCCAGTCTCGGCTCCCAGGATCAAGGATACGGGTCTTCAGTAACTGAAGGAGAGGACGCTCCTGTAGTTCTAGACGCCACCATCCTTCACAGGATCGCCTTCACTGTGTGGCACACCGCGCTCTACCTCCAGTCACAGGTGTATATGTCACTGCATGTGTATGTTGCTTTTATTTTATTAAATAAATATAATATTTTACTTTAGAGGAGTAGGCATCCTCCCATTCCCATGGTAAAGTTTGTAGCCGGTTTTATAATGCAAGTTGACGAAGTTTTGTTGTTTACACAAATCTTCTTTAACCAAGCCGAATTGAAAGAACAACAACTTGTAAACCGTAGAACTATAGCATATTTTATGTCTCATCAATTGTCAAAGTATCGAATACTATTGTGTGTGGTTAAACATGGCAGAGGTGTGTTGTGTATCTCATGTCTTATAACCCTTAGCCGTTAACATTTGACCCCAATGAGAACATCTGAGATAACTAACTGAGAACCCCTGTGATGGTTCACTGTAGAACTCGACTGAATTGTTATTTTGATGCTTACGCATATGATGATAACGCATCATCCAACCCCGGCCCCTCGCCCACCCATCCCTCCATAAATGTTGTTTGATATATCTGTCCGCTATGTCCATTTCAAATTCACCCAGAGTTTCAATCTTGACTAGTATTTAATAGAATCATTCAGCCATGAATATGCCTACGACTTGTTACAAAGTCTTTTGTTTTCAACATTTAAGTATATATTTCGCAAAAAAATCTTACAATTATCTGGAATATCCTATTTAGGAACTGCTTCATTATTTTACGTAACAATCATACAAATTATAACGTAGTAAAGGCAACAAAGTTATCTCCGAGTGTATCCTCCCTCACCCTGTTGAAGCTGCATTGAAAATGCATGACTCCTTTAACAATTCAGCTATCATTGTACAACGCTTGTATTTGTTTCTTGGAATTTACACTTTTCTTTTTTCTTCAAAGTTCAATTATACCTCTTGTTTATCAAACATACAATTATTTTAACTAATATATTCAATGCTTTTATACATCAATCTAATTGTATTTTTTGGAATTTTGGTTCTTTTAGCAGTATTTTTGTCTTTACAGGAAAAGTTAAAATGGGTATAAACTTTTAAAACAGTTTATATTTTCAAACTAAATCATTGAGTTTCTGTATTTTAAAACACACATCATCACCACTTTAATAGCTCTCTAAGTTACATTTTCTTCCCGTTGCAAAGCACGGGAAGAACAGCTTGTGTCGATAGATTTTCAATCAAGTAAAAAGTATGTTAGTTATGTGAAAAAGCACTCGCCTGCATTTTAAAAAAACCTGTTTATAATTAATACTAGATGGGAACGCTGCTAAGGTGTATTTTAACCCGAAAATGAATTACTGTAAATTCTAATGTAAAATGCCTTCTGCGTCTTCATTACGAAGATCATTTATTTTTCTCAGTCATTTAGGACCTGCAGTTGTTGAAACTCAAACCTTCAAATTGTTTACCCTGTAATCTCTCAAAACTCTTCTATCGTTAAACAATGGTTGGACGCATTTTCATAACTTGTGTAAAGTTAAGCTTAACTTTTTTTCGTGAAACATTGAACTCCAGACGTGGGAAGGGTTGTGAGTGCCCGCAGCGTCGACGTGTCTTGTTTTGACTCCGCGGGACGTCTAAGTCCTCTACACATTGTCCCTCAAGGGCTCTCGTAGTACCTCTAGACTCTCCAGGGCTTCCGGTCCTCAACTGTAACCTCTTGGGGTCAATTAACCGACAATATTATACGAGGGCTGCATGTAACGTTATGTCGCCCCGCCCATCAACGGGGTGTGGTGATAACATTATATAAAACTTGGTTACTTGGTTATCCTACAAGATGCTCAAGAAAATAGTTGTGATACCATAATCGATTACAAGATTTAAATACTCTCTATAATTACCAGAGTATGGATAGTCGACTGTACAAAATATTATCTTCCTCCGACCAGAAACATTACATAGTTACACCTTGCAATGTATTAAACACGGTGGTTGATATTGAATACATTTTGTGTAAGGTAACGGATTATAGACTGCAGCCCTATATTAATCAACCACTCCAAGACTTGCGTTTATACACAGCTACTTAGTTTATATCATTAGATTTCAATATGTCTAGTTTCTAACGATTTCTTCCTTGTTTCAGCACACCGGAGATGCGCCCGTCAGGACTCCTTCGAGACAGAAACCGGTAAGTCCTTAAACTTATATCTAATTAATACTGATGTACAATTCACTTCATAAGTAATTTAAAAACTACGTTTCGCAATAGGATAACAGAGAACTTTTGAAAAATACCTATACATGAGACATACTAAAACAAAAGAAAAATAGTATATTATGAATCTCATAGCAATAATCCCGTGAAATTAGTTACGGAAATAGTTAAGGAAAAATACGCTAAAGAAGGGTGTGAGCCGGGGGGAGAATTAATAGGGACATGAACTAATCTCTTTGAACGAATCCCCTGTTTTCGTTCTCAGAGAGCAACAATAACGGCATAGCCTCAAAACTTTGACTAATCCTAGAACATTCTACTGTTGCTGGTTTTCTATATCTCAGATGAGTTGAATATATGTTACAGCAAAGATAAAAATAGCATGTACAATTGTTGAATCTATCCTAACCTGATTGTAAAGAGTCAAATGTTTTATAGGCTAATAGGGAATATAGGTATTTAACCAAAGAATATTTTACTCTCTAATATATTTGGTCCATGGACTGAAAACGAGAAAAGTCATAATACTTATTCATTGCCATTATTGTAGTGACCTGTGAGCCGAAACAGGAGAAAAATTAATTTTTTATGAGTAGCTCACAATCACAAAAGTCACCTTTTGATCATTGAACACATCCCCGCGGACGTCCCCCCGGACGTCCCATGAAAACATTAAACAAAAAGTTATGATGATCCCTAGCTGTGAGCTGCAAACATCTCAAAACATTTCACGCTGTTAAACAATTACACAGGTACAGTAGTTAAAAAAAGCACGCCACGTAGCCTTGACTTCAAACACCGCCGCCGTCCATTTAATTATGGGACGATTTCACAAGCAAAACAAGCGCATAATTCAATTGCATTGTTACAAAACCCAACAAAGGTTCGGAGGGATTTGTGCTCTGGGCTGAGAGGTTGACAGAGCTGTTATAAGCCGCGGTCTGTTCTACTGAGCGATCCCTGAGGGCACCATCTTTTATTAATGCGTTGCGACAGGTCCAAGCATGCATTATGGATTGGCAAGGGTTTGGTCCAGATGAATTACTAGCTGAGAAAAGTTGTTGTGGATATATTTGGATTACTTATGGGCCATGGCTAGTGGAAGGTTAAGGAAGGTTTAAGGAAGGTTAGGATTTGAAGAGGATGAGGTGTATTAGTAAGGTAGGCAATGTAATTGAAATCTTATGGGAACCATTGCTACAACATCACTGTAAACGTTTTTGTCCTCGAATGTTTTATGTTGATCAAAATCCGTTTTGGAATCCAGAATTCCAACCAGAAAAAAATCTGAGGCGAATATGGTTGAAGTATGAATAAAATGTCAGTTTTGTTACTGACCAATTTGTATTCATTGTACTGACTGAGATCAGCAGTGCCAATGACCAAAAGCAGCCCCAGTTTTGTGTGGTTCGTCATGGTGTAGCTCATTCTGCAACAGCCGAATCTTCTGCAGAAAACTCTTACTCTATTTGCGGAGAACCAAACGCATTATTTACTGCAGTGGAGTGTAGTTAGCAGTGTGTAATGCGTGTTTATTACAAGGACATATTTTGAATAGTACATATTTTCTCTCGGCCACTATCTAGGAGGCACACTCCGCGACACACCTCAGTTCCAATCATCCATATTTACTCCAGCGATCACCCACGTCGCGAATGTCACTCTGGCCTGTTAACCCTTGACCCTGATTGATTTTACTTTTCACCGCCGCCACGAGACAGCCAAGCCACGATCCTATTACCAGTATAGTTCCGTCATTATCACGCTCTGGCTCTATCTGCGACTGCGACCCTTGGCTCATTACACACAGTCGTGCAGCTCAGATAGGCGGTGTCCTGCATCTAGATGGAACACTACTCCAACTGCGCCAATTATTTTAAATCACAATTAATAGACCAACACTCAAACTAAGGCAGATATTGCATCATAATTAGTGGAACACTTCTATGTGTCTTCTCCTGGTCTAATTATTGTTGAAATTTGTTAGTTGAGGAACACTTCTGTTCGCCTAGTCCTGCTGGACTTTTTATTAAGTGTGGCAGACCTTTTGTGAAATTATGTTAAATTTAATTAATGTTAAACATCGCCAACATCAAGGTCATTTAATTGGTTAAATAGTTAAAGAAGAGATTAAGTCACATCTAAACAATACCCTGTACTACTTACAAATACATAATCCAGAATGTGAAATGATTTACAAGCCGCACAACAACAGTGAAAATTAGTTGAGACATTCCAATGGGGGCATACCTCAGGTACGTGTTATTCTGGAGGATCGTATGATCCGCTATAAGTCTTGCGAGAACCCATTAATAAGGGAGCTGAAGGCTCGTGACCCCCCAGGGCAAACCCCCCATGCCCCCCCCCCTACGCCCCCCCCCCTATTAGTAACAGTACATAGAGCGGGTCTGAACCACATTTCATGTTAGTTCCATAAAGTTCTACAAATCTGCAATGTACAGCCTTGCAACTTCATTTGATAGAAATTTATTTACTGTGCAGTGTTTTATTAAAATCTTTTCGAGACGTATATTTATTAAATGTTTAGCATAGATAAAGCTCTTGTGAACAGAATCTATCCTATATATTAGTAGATTAAACATATTTTTCATTTCTAGATAACTATTTTTAGGTCGGTGAAAGTGTGGCACATTCGAAAGCAATTAATTAATTGGTAAATGGTGTAAGCTTATCTGCAATTAGTTATGTTTTTTTTATTTAGTCTTTCTTTAGTTAGTAATTAGTGATGTTCCTCTTCGCAAAATCATATAGTGTCCTGTGTGTAGTGAGTTTTCTCTCCATTAATAGAGATTTGAGAGAAATTGTTTTTAATTACATGTATTCACTAGTGATGCTTTCTAAAAACCAATCGACGATAGAAAGTGTGAGGAACCATCAGGATTTTGCACATTCCTTGTTTAAAATTAACATTTGCCTTACGCATTGAGAATGTCAAGAGCAATCTCGGGCGGTGAATGTTCTAGTAAAACGTTTTAACATACAATAACAAATCAGCTCCACATACGCGTTCCACTTTTCAAACAAGACTGGCAGCTTTGATACTCTTCTGAAAATTATTCGAACATTGGTATTACTCGTAAGTAAAAACTGTTTGAATATTTACGAGATCAAAACAATAAATTATATTTTACTTGTTTTGGAAAATAACATTTCGTCCATAAGTTGCTAAGTTTAACTTTGATCGTTGAGGATTCTTTAGGAGTTTTCAATCACTAACTAGTAAAGCTAAGGTAATAATTTCATCACAAACAACTAAGGTTAAAAGTCATCATATGTAAAACAACAAACCAGAATAAACTCCTAAACATAATTAAAGGTCTACCAACAGTGTCTAAACGCACGATCAAATTCACGCAGTCTGAGTACCCGTGCTATAGATTCCAGATCCTGATATATCATTGAAAGACATGCCCGCACAAATTCGTGGATAAGAAGTTCCCAACTAGCCAAATGTTTACACAACTCTTCTCCTATAATCAACGAATTGGGAAGTTTAGTTCACGATTGAGACACAACGCTTAACCAATTTGCCTACTCTCAATCATACAATTATAGTCGATTCAACCAGTTCCACAGCTCCAATGACTTAGTTGAAAACAGTGATTTAAACTTTCGCCTATAAAATCCAAACCTACAATCCAGTCTAACCTATGATGCCTCTGGCTCAACCTACGCAAATTTTGGTCAGAGGACAGAGAGGTTGACCATTGTAATTCCATTGTTCTTGTTTATCCCGAAAATAATGGAAACTCTCTGTGGGTAATGTTTTCATATAAATATGGAAATTAAGGAGCCATTATGTTCATTGTTTAGAGGATTTTGATAATTGGAGCTCGTGGATCGAGCCCGTGGGCGTTCAGATCTTGGACCTTCTCACACCCACACTATGACCATCCCAGCTCCAGATGTCTTTCTTCTTCTTTGTCACTTCCGGTCAAGTGGTGAAAGTTTTGGAGGGAATGACATCTTGATGTAGCTCTTTGATGTAGCTACTTGATTTGTTGCAAGTTTAACAACAACTCTGGAGTCTCTGGAATCCTCTCTTGTATACAAGGAATGTTTAACATTGCTTGTTACGTCTTTCACCTGTTCTTATCACTAATTCAGTAAACATTATTAGTCGTGGAATCGTACTATACCATTTGATATAACGTAACGAGACATATTATTTTCCTCAATTTAAATATTTTTGTTAGATGAAGTTGAAAATTGTCATCCTTCAAAATTATAGATACGATTCCTACTTCTATCCGAAAAAATCTTACGTTTTTCTACGGCTAAATTTAATTTAAAATATTTGTGAAACCAAAAGTAGCTAGTGGCAGTAGAATAGTAAGGGTTATTTTACTAAAAAGATACAAATGATTGTAAAATCCCTCTATTAGACAATTGATAAATTTATAGACCCAAAGGATGTTTGATTGAGATTTAAAAAATATATACATCTTGGTATATTTATAACACTTAGTCGTCACATTGGTAAATATGTTGACAATGTTCCGAAGTTTGTGACGTTTTCAATATGTCTTTGTTTTGCTTCTTGACATGCCTTGAAAAGACTGTTAGTGGTTCGACGTCTACGCCGCATATTTTCAATGTGTCAGTCGCATCTTCGCATATGTTTTGCATAAGTTTAATACAAACCACCTCGGCGGGTGGGCCTTTTCTACACTACATGCTCCGTTATACCAAAAATACAGCCTGAGGAATGAATAGATTAGTGTACATTATTTGGAAGGCAATTTTTAATAGAGGTAGTGTTTTTATGTTTCGAACCTTTCGAAATTAGCCCCAGCTGTCCTTGATCATTGGGGATTTTAATAAATGGTCTTGGCTAAACAACACTGGTACTACTGTAGTCAGTAAAGCTATCGATTTATTCACTCAACTTCACTCACCTTTGCCTTAAAATACGTACTATGGTGTGTGGCGTCGTATGAAGCAGATCAAATTGCATCAAGTATTGCAATAGCTTACACACATATCGCTTTCATTTTCATCGTTTAAAATTATTAAATTAGTGAAATAACAATGAATAAATTATATTTACCAAGGTTTACTCTACAAATACCAAACAGAAACACGACTACAAAAGCTGCCTCCAAGACTGATCAATTAAGGATGATGTTAGATGTTAAATTTGAGAGTATATAAATTAAGCAGTACAACCGTTGATGTAAGAAAATCGTTATGATAAACTAATTTAATTTCATATTTTATGTTACAATAAATACTTGATACACAGTTTAATGCACACTAGCTGTATATTAAAGTAGTTACCTCTATTATAAATACTAAGTGCTCAGTTGCGTCTCTAATTTCTAACAATGCCCGATGCGTTCCAACAATGGTTCCCCGCAATTGTTATTCAGGTCAGAATCGTCGGCGCCACACGCTGATTTATTATTTGGCGCTACGTGAGAAGACCACTGTCGCATTGGAATTATTCCCGAGTGCAAGTCGTAAGCAGTTCAATTCTGGTCGTACTAAACAATAATATCCACTCGGTACAAATGGTATTTGAATAAAGTGGAGTCTCGATAAACCGAACTTCGGTAATGCGGAAAGTCCGCTTAAATCAAAAACCGAAAAAAATGGCTTGTTATAAAAAAATTATATTTTTTAATCAGTACGTGCTGTCACTTATCGGGTAAAGTTTAAACTACTAGCACCGTCGAGTGATGATATCAATGCAGCTTATTGTACCCAAAAAGTGATTACCCAGTACGTACGTGCTTGTCACCCATTGGGGAAAGCCGAAACTGCTAGCACTGTCATGTAATAACAGAAAGTAGCCTACCTCGTCGAAGTATTCTTTAGCGGCCGGGCGAGATAGACTTGTTGAATAGAGTATTTTAGTAACGATTTAACAATTTTTAGTAAACGTTTTCTCATTTTCGTTCCGGGTTCCAATCCTGCTAAGTCTCCAATGGATTTTATCTAAGTGATAATGCCACAACCCTTAGGTCTAGCCTAAAGTAAAGTGAAAAACAATCCCAGGCTCGTGCCTAGCGTCCTAGGACAAAAGAAATTTAAAAAACTTAAAAAGTAAAAAAAAAATAAAAAACAAAGAACTTTTAATCCGAACTTGGTAATCCGAAATGTGCCGGTCCCAACCATTTCGAACTATAGGGACTCTACTTTAGAGATTAAAAAAGGTTAATTGAAAACTATTCAACACAGTAGACTATTTTTACCCTTTTTTGATGTTTTTCAACAACAACATATGAATCGCATGAATAAATACTGGGAACAAACACTAGACGCTTTTTCAAGTAAATGTGGTTCAAATCCGTCAAATGTTTCTGTACTGTATTTTCCGATTTTTGAACCCCCCCCCCCCCTCACTTGGATTCCATAGCTCAACCATTTAGTTAACAACACAATACTTTTTAAATTTACTTTACATTTGTATCTCAGACTTTAAAGATCGCTCAATTTGCATTTCGGTCCTTGCATGTTAAGATACAACTCGTACATTCTCCTATTTCTATTTTCTCACTACAAAAACACGCATATGTTTCTATAAGAACCCGTTCACCCCAAGGAAAGTCGCAGAAGATAATAGTAAGGTTCTTCAAATTCACACACCTTAAACGATACATTTTCAGTCATCAAAGGTTACTTAAATACGTAAAATGATAGAGAATCCCGTCCCACCCAGAGAATCCCCATCCTAGAGCCACCTGCCTTCACGTTATCCTGGCAACAGAGTACCACGTTGTAGCATAGATACATTGTGGTGGCAGTCAACACGGGGGCAGAGTCCCACGGTACATCAGAATGAGCTGCCTGGGGCTTTGGCTGCATCAGCAACTTCATTGATATTTTACGTCGTACACACGAACCTTGTAATCTGATAACAACCACTACTGCTTACATTCCTGCAACTACAATGAGCATCCCAGGGAAGACGTGCGGATTTGTGGTTGTCTACAGTTTATGGAAACCATACATATACAGTAGTACTTGAAGATTTTAATCAATTTACCATTAAGTGGATAAATAATAGTTTTAGAGGGATTTCCTGTGTGCTTTTACGTTTATCATTTAGCAAAACAATTAATTAGGTGTATAGGTACCTATAATTATTCGTATAGCTGAGCAGATTATACTCGGGGCATATAACAAGTATATTTTCAACGTATTTTATTGAATTTCAATATATAGGTAGTCTGAGATTACATACAACAAGCATCACAAAATATGTGTAAACAATGTTATTGACAAATTACCAAAAGTTGGAGAATAATATTTAAAAGAATGATTGGCATTTGTGAGACAAACTGAGATATTACGTAGGGTTATGTTTTCTGTAGAATATATTTTCTTTTTTGTAGAGATATAACAACAATCTATACTATTATAAAATCGAGGTGGTGTCTGTCTGTCTGGACAGCTGTCACGACTAAAATACTAAACCGATACAGCAAAAATTAAGCACAAAGACGGTCAACATACAGTATCTAGGAATGTCATAGGCATATTTACCTCCATGAGCTTCTCTCGGGCTACGCATCTTGGATGTCCAAAGTTTTGAGGCAAGGTTTTCAATAGTAAATATTAATTGGTCTCCATGGAATAGTGAGAAAATTCACAATGTTTGCCTTTGCGTTTACATTTAAATGTAAACAATCAGACCTCCCAAATGCTCATTTCACAATTTCAGACAGCTAATCCAAAGAAATTAAATATATTTTGCACAGCTATGTGATAGGATTAATTAATCCAATACTTTATGAGAGATTATTTTTCTAAACCTATTTCAATAATAATGAAACTGATTTTTCTTCCCGTTGCGAAGCACGGGTATAACAGCTAGTTATGAATAGAAATACGGGTTGGAACTCCTCTTAAAAAACTAGAAAACTATTTTTTTACAATCTACACAATAATACACACCATTTATGCAACAAAAAGAATCTATGCTTTAAGAACGCGGATCCATTAGATAGGTGGTTATACTCACCTAATGAGAGCTCTCCGCTGAAATAATACTTAACATACTTCTTAATATTACCTCTCTAACATTCAGCAATTTGTAAAAATATATGTTCTATAAACTATTTTATTTTATGTTTAAAATCTTGAATGCTATATTTGAATGATTTAATTGCGAAACAAAACTATATTGATTTTCCAGTAGAGTTACATTGTATGCAGATGCCGCCGTAGATGAAACGGTAATTACTTTACGCAACTCACCCTTATCAGCATAGTACAGGAGATACACATTAACTGATAACAGCTGATCCTGTCTCCTGGCCACGCCTTCTACAGGACATTCCCGTGTATGTTAAGTAGTGATTTAAGTGGATGTTAAGTAGGGACAAGGACGTCACTAATTAGTTCCGTCATTGATAGTTTTCGATTGATCATCCTTATGGATCAGGTGAAGACAGATTTAGTGTTTGAATGATAAACTTCACCTTCAAACTACATAAAAACATTGAGTCGACATGAGCACACTCAAATACCAATAGGCTTCAGATTATCAATTAATCATTGTAATGTATCATTGTGTGTGTTAATTGTTTTTCAAATCGGAAAAATAATGTTTGATCAAGAGAAAATAGGCTCTTGTTTTGTTTAAACCTATTCCATTGCGTACATTTTTGAAGGCTGTGCTTATTCGTCTATACTCGCGTTAGTTGCAAATACAAGCTTCGATGTGAACATGTGTTCATTATTTGCCCAGCTGAAAGCGAAACCTACGTACCTATTCACGTCGCAACTGTAAGTGTATGTTTTTGTTCTATATTAATCAATAATTTCACTTGCATTCTCATTAAACACAATTTCAAGTGTTAAATGCTTTGTTAAGCCACAATTCAGATTGGCATACGTCTTGATGTTTGATATCCTATCAGAGTAACTACTTGTTAATACAAATCAAATACATAAACACTACTAGTTTGACAGTATTCAACAATCCATTTAGTCTGACGTGTTCAATATCCATACATAATTAAACAACATAGTACCTGTTATATTATACTAGGCATCGAATTATATCGACGGATTAAATTATCTCTAGTTATTTTACGAACATCTTCCAATAATTCGCAATAATTTTCATGTTTCTCTGATGTAGAAAAACGCTCTAAAACATTTACCTGTGTCTGAAAATCATATGTGGTCTGATAGAGGATCCAATGTCACCGTAATGTAAAGCAAAGCTGACGACAGAAGGAAGGGCGTGCGAGCTTTATGTACCATTGGCTGAGGCCCGCCCTACGTCTTGTACGGGGCCCTCTCTGGGATTGGAAATATTTTGTTGAGCTTCAGTTAAATCTTTACCTTAGTCTCGTTACCATCTAATATCGACATTTTGTTTTATAGCATTGTTAATAGATAAACAGTGACAAATGGTCACGGGGTCGAGAATCAATCCCGCTTCGGATCAGAGTCTTTAGTACAAATAAAACCACTTTTGTTTTCAAAATGATTTTGTTGCCTGCCTTTCCGTTTTTGTTTCTGCGTCCTCTAACCCACTCCGGAGTTTAGACTTTCTAAATTAATTAGAATAATAATCCTGACTTACTGTATATTAATTCCTTCTCGCGCTGTCCTTTCCGCCATTTATATGCCCATATCACATTCGCAATACCACTAATTCCACATCCTTCACAATCCCACCACTTCAAGAACCTCTCCCCATTTCAATGACTAATCGCTCCCTCTGCTGCAGGTGACGATGGCGTCGGAGGGTACCCGCCCCAGGGCCCGCACCCGGGATCACGGCATGGACCTCAGCTATGTCACGGAGAGGATCATCGCCCTGTGGTTCCCAGCGGACATCTCACCTTCCAGCTTCAGGCAGGGTCAGCAACAGGCTTCCCACATGCTGACCAGCAAGCATGGCAACAGCTACATGGTCAGTCAATAACAGTAGCAATGAAAAATCTCCCTTTTTAGGTATAAAAGCGTATGTTCCTAGATCTACCAATAATGGCTATTTTTTCACTGATTATAACATGCAAAATAGCTGATCTCTTCATACCATAAATTTGCCGCATTGTGTTTCCTGTTGGGAAAATATAATGCATTATCGAGCAGAAAGTATCCTTTGCTGCACTCATGAGAATTATTTACTGAGTAAATAATTTTACCACGCGTTGTATTCTTTGTGTGTTCATAGAAAGCCACTTATTACACTAGTTCTAAAAATGACATTCAACTGGAACATTTTAATTTTGGATTCACAGACAATCCTTTCCTGGCCCATTTTTTGCTAACTCTATTATTCATGATGCTCTGTGCTCATGGGGCATGTTGTGTAGGTTTTCAACTTGTCTGAGCCACGGAGAGCCACCAGGAGTCATCATGAGAGAGTGAGGGAGTTAGGCTGGCCCTCGGACCTGGCTCCTCCTCTGGAGCGACTGTGCAGTATCTGCAAGGACATAGACTCTGTTATCCTTTTCTCATGGTGCATGTTGTGTAGGTTTTCAACTTGTCTGAGCCACGGAGAGCCACCAGGAGTCATCACGAGAGAGTGAGGGAGTTAGGCTGGCCCTCGGACCTGGCTCCTCCTTTAGAGCGACTGTGCAGTATCTGCAAGGACATAGACTCTGTTATCCTTTTCTCATGGCGCATGTTGTGTAGGTTTTCAACTTGTCTGAGCCACGGAGAGCCACCAGGAGTCATCACGAGAGAGTGAGGGAGTTAGGCTGGCCCTCGGACCTGGCTCCTCCTCTGGAGCGACTGTGCAGTATCTGCAAGGACATAGACTCTGTTATCCTTTTCTCATGGCGCATGTTGTGTAGGTTTTCAACTTGTCTGAGCCACGGAGAGCCACCAGGAGTCATCACGAGAGAGTGAGGGAGTTAGGCTGGCCCTCGGACCTGGCTCCTCCTCTGGAGCGACTGTGCAGTATCTGCAAGGACATAGACTCTGTTATCCTTTTCTCATGGGGCATGTTGTGTAGGTTTTCAACTTGTCTGAGCCACGGAGAGCCACCAGGAGTCATCACGAGAGAGTGAGGGAGTTAGGCTGGCCCTCGGACCTGGCTCCTCCTCTGGAGCGACTGTGCAGTATATGCAAGGACATAGACTCCTGGCTCAGCGGCGACAGTCACAGGATCGCCGTACTGCATGCCAGGTGTGTAATATTGCAATGACACTCAATTAATTTTTGTTTTGTTTATACATTTGCTTTTTACTGCCTTGACCAAATCCTAGCCCATATTGAGTTTTTAGCCTTTTATTTCGAATTACTGTCTTCGGGAGATAGTTTCGTTATGATACGTCAATAATTCGTACGTATTTGTTCAATAATACGAAAAAGTGGGCCCAAACCAGTGGTTTTAATGAGTATAGTGCAGCCACACGAAAAGAAAACTTCGTGGTAAAATCAATATTTTGTCTACCTCATCCGTCCTTTAATCGTGTGACGGAACAAAAACATCAATTCTTAAATTGAGAAATAATACCATTGAGTTGATAAAAACTTTTCAAAAATAAATGCTACGATTTGGGACCGAAATGACCGGGCTGGCGCTAACATAATGCCCAATGGACGGTGATTATTGGTGGGAGCATATGGGTGGGGAAGGGGTGTTTGTATGTTTAGTCTGGCCGGAAGCAAAGCGGTATCAGTAGCACGCGCCAAACACACGTGTTCAGCAGCTGCTCCCGCCAACCGCGTCGTCTGCAACAACCAGCTGACTGCAATGATTTACAGCTGGCCACTCGCTCAACTTCTTATTGGAATATCGAAAGACTGATGGACTATTAATTAAATACCCCGCCCTTCAATTAGACAACTAAACGGCTAGTGCAATAATTATAAGATGCATATTAGCCGATTTCTGCGGTAATTAAGCTAATTCATGTGGTAATTAGCTGACATCAATGAAATTGGAACTATTAATAGAAAGTCGCCCCTTAATGTATGTGAAGCGTAAAAGTATTAAAATACCAAAACATCTTTGTCGATTTATTCAGCAACGATGTTGTTTCTGCAGCAGACGAAGGTTTAGAAATCTCTTAGAACTACATGGTAAAGTGATAATGTCATATTCAAAATTTTGAGGAGGAAATACGATGAATCCGTTTATATTCCTTTAATGGAATTTTATAATGTTCATCTGTAAATAAAAAATAAAAAACAATTCAAAATGTCTGTTGTACATAAAGCCTTTTTTTATTAAGGTTTGTGATAGCAGAGTAAAAATAAATTATTTTTTCTGGTGTCAGAAAAATTACCTTCAATAATTACTTGAAAATGGAATTAAAAAGACATAAACGTGTAGAATTGATCATATCTCTGAATCGACTCGTCAGGACGGATGCAACGGTATTTATTTGACGCCTGAACTCTTGTCACTGCAGTCAGCAGTACTGACCAGCCGTGCAGTTCTGCGTTCACTGCAGTCAGGCGTCTCGGCTTTAACATTTTCCCATTGACATTTATGTGAATAACTTTGTTAACAATCAAATACATGTTTTATCCAAAAAATGTGGTATAAATTACTTGTTGGTATTATAATTTGTATCCACCAAATAGGTACTGTCATTTATTTGTATCAAATTGTACTAAACTATTCTCGTTATTTAGTCCATTCTTCATGCATCAGATTCAGATGCATTCGTTATTGTATGTCAATTACACAGGAGCGCCTGAGGAATAAATTCATCAATCCTGCGATTCATCAACAGTCGGATGTTACCACCACGACACGTCGATTCAGTGATGCAGCGCACGGGAAAGTTGTGCAAATTTCTCCCGGCAAATTCCCACGATATATCTACGTGCATCACGTCTTGTTTGTTGTCTGTCACGTAGTTCTGCCCCTCTCCTTGTCACCCCTCTGTAGTTGTCTGCCTCCCGTTCCCGTGTTTCCTCTTTTCCTTGTACTCTTGTTTGTTGGTACACCAAACAGCTCTGCCGTTTTCATTCTTTTAAGAAAATTTATTAATTTGACTATAAGTTTGATCAAATATTTGGAAGTACTGTACGAGGTTTGTCCGGATATTAAGGTCTCGACTGAGCTACCGGAGCAGCCAAGCGATCTCAAATCTATTACATCAACCACTATTCATGCCTCATGTGTTTGATGTGTGTTACTAATGTCTGATTTGTTTTCTAGGATACAATTACAAACCTTGAACATTTAAAAGGAATTTCACTTTTTTAACGGAGAATGTCATCTGAGTGTTCTTAGAATATGGTACATATTTTTAGATGTTAAATAAATCCTCAGAATAAAATTAATCACAGTTGCAACTACAGAAAAAACCAGGGGTTTGGTTTATAAATCCAGGGGTTCTCAATCTATTAAAAATCAATAAATAAAAACCAGTTAATCTAATACTACAAAAATAATTGTTTCAAATATACTTAGGCCTACTGCATAGTTCTCTCACAATATCATTCAAATACTCTGAAATCTTGTGAAGCTACAAACTGTCAAAAATTTATTACTCCACGTTTTCGGTACTTTAATTCTCAAGATGCCCAATTCATTTTCTAGGTGACTTGACTTTCATTAAATAAAAAGTGAAAATACTTTGGTTTACTCTCAGGTAGTCCTGATTTGATTGGAAAACCAAATATTTCAAACCTGGGGCCCTATTTTTGAAATGGTTGACAGTTGAGTCAATCGTCAACACTCAACTCAACGAACAACAGGATTTGGTATTTTTGAAGTCCAACAGTTGAGAAGTGAGTTGGGAATCACTAGTTGAATGACTTGTTTTGGAAATGAAGACATACGACCGCACGAAATTCAGATGTCATTTTGAACCAATCACAATGCAGAGTTCATTGCGATCTTCGATCTAACCTCTTACTCTAAAATCTCTGAATCCTTTTATCAGCTAATCTCAGTCTACCTGTGGAGTAGATGCCCCTTTAGGGCCATCACGCCTATGCTGACAACCCTAAGATTAGCTGTGTCTTTAGCCAGGTCAAATTAAGCCCGATTATCAAAAGGTTTTATACTTTCAATCCTTTGATCTAAATGATGATGTGTCTTGTTACAGAGGTAGCCAGGAGCGTATAGGCGTAGTGGTGGCTGCGTACATGCACTACTCTAACATCTGTGGCTCTGCGGACCAAGCTCTGGACAGGTTTGCGATGAAGAGATACTTGGATGACAAGATCGGAGACCTGGACCAACCTTCGCACAAACGGTGAGCTATTTCGACCATAAAGCTAGTGTAACTATAAAGTAACTCCATCTCAGGTGTGTCCGTTTCGTTTGGACTTGGTATTGTGCAGAATTAAAATGGTTCAGATTTTAGAAAGTTTGGACTGGGTAGACCAAAGATATCCATAGAGTCACGGTTCATTTATATATGGTTCCGCTTTACAAGTTTCAAACATCATAATCCATATGCCTTACATAAATATTATGGTGCTTTGTCCATAGTCCTGATTCCAGCAAACCAATTTATAACCTGTTCATCAAGCTCAGTACATTATAATTTTATTGCTGATTTTCCTATTATAATACAATATAGTAATGCACACACACAACAGCCCCAAACAAAAAAAAAGAATCCCCATTAGCTGTACCTTATGAAAGTTCATAGTGGGACCTAACATTTTACAGTTTAAAGAGAATATTTCAGATTGAAAGGTTAGTAGTTTTAACAAAAAATTAAAAATTGTATGATCTGTTCTACGACTATAGCAAAACCTTCAATTATACCTTCTTTGATAAAATTATTTAATTACTGAGGATTTTTTTTTGTGCTGGTTTTTGGTCAGTTGTATTCCATTTCTCTCGCATTTTCCATTTCTTTTTATCAAAAATAGGAAAAAACACTAAAATAATTAATCATTTGTAAAAAGGTGTGGAAATAAAGTCTCTTGAAAAAGTGCTTTACTGAATGTCACTATTCCAACAGACAAAATAGTTACAGTATTTAGGTTATAGGTCACAATCAGTATTTTTAATCAGTATTTGAATATTTTCAGATATATCGACTACTTCTCGGGTCTTCTGTCAGGCAACATCAGAATCAACACCAACCCTCTGTACTTGACACATGTGACGGTCCTGGGAGCTCCTAGCTTTGAGGTCGAAGGAGGTTGTCGAGCATTTCTCAAGGTGAGATAGTCAAACTGTGTTTTAGTCTTTAAGTCAGCAAAACATTTGACAAGGGTAGAACCTTTAAACTTAGGAGTTGTTCATTAATTTCATCGTAATTTTATCATTTTCCCTTAATCTTATTTACATAAAACTCCACGTTTTTAACAAACAATTGGCCACAGCCACAGGCGCGCAGTTTGCAAGATATACGCTATGGGCCTGGGAGATGATTACGCCCCTTTCCACCTAAATTGTGTGGGAATTTTTCTCTACCTTGCACCCCAAACAAACCTAAAACCTCTTGTGCCCTAGGGCCCGGACCCACCAGGCCCATTTATAGCAAGGGGTTAACAGAGAGAGCTCATGGACAAGATTCTGCAGTTCATCTAACAACAGACGTTTAACAAGCTATACGGCACTAAATGGGGGAAGAGCAAAAAGCCCTCACGTGACTGACCCATTTAGGGTCAAATTCCGCCCCAACCATATCAATCATTGGCTGTGTGGTAATGGAGGACAAAGACAATAAGGATTGGCAAGAAGTAGCAAACTATCTGATTGGAGGAGCAACTCTTTAAAGAACCCATTAATCCTAATCCACCAGTGCAGTCAAGCGTTTATTACATTTAATTTTGTGTTATGGTGGGCCTATCTCACCAAGCCACAGACAGAATCCTTTAATGTGTTGCGCACCAGATATATCTGAATAAGATTTAAGCCCTCAATCTTTCAATTATTTTTAACAGCAACGTAAACTTGGTGTGCATTTTAGTGTGCAAACTTGGTTGTGTATTTTAAGCTGAATATGATAGTCCAAGCATATGAGGAAAAAAAATGATGTTTTCAGGAAAAAATTCCCGAAGTTTTTTTCTCAGTAGTTTCTTATGTATTTTTTGGCGCTGAATCCGATTTTAAACTTTGCCACCTCGCCAGAGGTGAGCTAACTTCAGAAATCACAAAAAACTAATAAAATACTGTACTTGTTTTACATTTTTGCGTATAACTCACAAACGGAGTATTTTTTTGCAATAACTGTCATTTACTAAATTAAAGTACACTAAATTCCCTACAATATACGTATAATAACTTTATTTCTACGATGTTCCAAACTGACGCTAGAGCGCGCTCAAAATTCATCATTTTCTTTTACCTATTGGAAAACGTAGAAAACACCATTATAAATCCTTGGATTAGACACCCAACGAACTCTATTTGATAAATATTGATTATTTTATAATTAGTACCTGGGGACCGAGCTTTGCTCGGGGAAAATTATTAGTATACTCTGAAAAGTATTGCAGATACATTAATCCACTCCTAATCTCCACACTGTTCACCTTCACTACTTACTTCACCACTCCCTACGTCGTGGACCTGTTTTCCCTCCTTCCCTATACCATTTTAGAATTGCAGATACATAAATGCCACAGACAGTTCCCACACTCTGCACTGCTAGCATTACTACTTCCTACACCATTACCTACGTCATGAACCTGTTTTCCTCCCTTCTCGTAGCATTTTAGGATTGTAGATACCTTAATGTAATTCCCATAAACAGTTCCCAGACTCCAGACTGCTCACCTTTACTAATTCCTTCACCACTTCCTACGTCGCGGACCTGTTTCTCTCCCTTCCAATGGCATTTTAGGATTGCAGATACACTAATCTAATCGTCATTAACAGTTCCAACACTCCAGGCTGCTTGCCTTTACTACTTCCTTCACCTCTTCCTACGTCGCAGACCTGTTTCCCTCCATTCCCATAGCATTTTAGGATTGTAGATACCTTAATCTAATCGTCATAAACATTTCCCATACTCCGGACTGCTCACCTTTACTACTTCCTTCACCACTTCCTATGTCGCAGACCTCTTTACATCCCTTCCCATAGCATTTTAGGATTGTAGATAACTTGATCTAATCGTTATTAACAGTTCCCACACTCCGGACTGCTCACCTTTACTACTTCCTTCACCACTTCCTACGTCGTGAACCTGTTTCCCTCCCTTCCCATAGCATTTTAGGATTGCAGATTCCTTAATCTAATCGTCATAAACAGTTTTCACACTCCAGACTGCTCGCCTTTACTACTTCCTTCACCACTTCCTACGTCGCGGACCTGTTTCCCTCCATTCCCATAGCATTTTAGGATTGTAGATTCCTTAATCTAATCGTCATAAACAGTTTCCACACTCCAGACTGCTCGCTATTACTACTTCCTTCACCACTTCCTACGTCGCGGACCTGATTCCCTCCCTTCCCATAGCATTTTAGGATTGTAGATAACTTGATCTAATCGTTATTAACAATTCCCACACTCCGAACTGCTCACCCTTACTACTTCCTTCACCACTCCCAATGTCGTAGACCTGTTTGCCCTCCTTCCTTATACTATTTTAGAATTGCAGATACATAAATGCCGCAGACCGTTCCCACACTCTGCACTGCTAGCCTTACAACTTCCTTCCTCATTTCCTACGTCATGGACCTGTTTTCCTCCTTTCCCATTACATTTTACTTGCAGATTACCTTAAAAACAGTTCCCACACTCCAGACTGCTCGCCTTTACTACTTCCTTCACCACTTCCTATGTCGTGGACCTATTTCCTCCCTTTCCATAGCATTTAAGGATTGCAGATACCGTAATCTAATTGTCATAAACAAATCCCACTCTCCACACTGCTACCCTTGACTATAGAATCGAGTAATCTTCAGTATAATCTTTGCTCAATAGTAACAACTGATGTTTTTCCTTTTGTACTGTATTTTGTTTTGCTAGTATACTGTGGATGGACAAATAATTACAAGTCTTTTGTTTACTTTTTCCTTGTTATTTAATTCAGCCAACATGGTTACCTAGCAACCCATAAGACTAATGTTAAAAAAATGTGATTTTCAGTTTCATTTTTCTACGTAATTAGATTTTTGTTGGCAGTTCTATTTGCAGTAAACTCGTTTTTAGGCCAGAAATAAACTATATACAACATTTGAAGAAAATCGTCGGAGCCGTTTTCGAGATCCTGGTGCATGCATACATACATACATACACTAACACAACATACAAGCAAACATACAACAACATACAAGCTGTATACATACATACAAGCAAACTTTGCTCGTATTAGAGTATAGGATATGGCATCATTAGGTCACATTTAGTGGTAAAAAAATGTAAGTGAAGTTTATAGTCGGTAACCATAGCATAAAAAAATAACATAACAATTTTCAATTTAAATTTAAATACATTTGAAAATTATTATTATAAATCATAGTCGATTAAAAATATAGTTTAATATGCTGGGGCTGTAGTATAGATATCATTTTACCCATATATGTGCATTATACAGGGTGACAAAAAAGTCTGGAAACGGCTTGATATCTTTTTAACTAAATTCATTAGAAAATTCAAACTTTTCACAGCAACTTATATGTAAGAAAACTACTTTTTGCAAGCATTACAATTTTTTTACCTTCACCAGGGGACGGCCCATGAGGAGTAGGTACATAATCTTTAATGTAAGCATAGGTTGATATGCACGTCATTTTAAAGGTCTGGTTAAGTGGAGTTCATTGCCGGAAACCGCATGAAAAAAGGTTCATCCGTTACGAAATGGCGGCAGTCCAAAGTTCTTGCGGAATACCTGCAGAGGCCTTAGAATTGGTAAATTACTCATATTCAACATTAGCCGGGAAATCTGAAGCCCGTTTAAATTTGTTTTGAAGATTGAATAATATTAGTCTATGAGCTAGTGGACTTTAAAATACAGTTTCAGCTCTCAAGCTAATGTTTAATACGAGTATTTACCAATAGTAAGGCCTGTTCAGGTATATTCAACAAGAACTTTGGACAGCCGCCATTTTGTAACGGATGAACCTTTTTTGACGCGGTTTCCGGCAATGAACTCCACTCAACCAGACCTTTAAAATGATGTGCATATCAACCTATGCTTACATTAAAGATTATGTACCTACTCCTCATGGGTCGTCCCCTGGTAGAAATAAAAAAATGATAATTCTTGGAAAAAGTAGTTTTTATACATGTAAGTTGATGTGAAAGGGTTGAATTTTCTAACGGATTTAGTTAAAAAGATATTAAACCGTTTCCAGACTTTTTTGTCACCCTGTATAGATAGTATCATTATAAATGGACACACTATATACAGAAAATAGACAGGGATGTTGACTGAAATGCTGTAGACGAGCTTCTATTTATTAAATTAACATGTACAACTATAGCTTTTTTTTCATATTTTCACCTCACTTGCAGTCTTTATTTTCTTGACTGTCTTTGTGCCTTTACTTTACCTTGTTGGAATAGAGCGGACGTCGAGTCAAAAGACAGTTATAAGACATAACGACCTCTATACCTATCTTTGCCGGTTTTCTAATCCCAATTCAACAACAAACGAAATTACCGAGGCAGGGGAGAGACCCTTGGTGGCCTTGTATGGTGGTAACCATATCACTAACAAGCTGAATAAGCTGCAATTCAAGAGTTGTATTACATCAGCTTATAATATGAATGGTAATATATTATCTCTTCTACCAACTGATGCTGCAGCTGAACAACACTCACAGAGGGTGTTTTACCAAGTTCAAGAAAGAAGTTGTCACCCGAGGATCGGGGCTGGAGAAAGACTGCAAACTCATTTGTTCCTACAGTATTACTACCTTACGGAGCCCAGCCCCAGATACTCTCTTGAAACTGGTAGCATGCTCATGCAAGAAGGTAACTGCGGCTGCCGACGAGTAGGGCTCTTTTGCTAAAAAATATGTGGGAAATATGAGGGGAACTGCTCCAACGCCGAACCAACCATCGTAGGTGATGAAGTAGAAGATGTTCCCTTGGATGAGGACAACATCTCAGGTCCTTCAACAGAACATCCATCTCAAAGCTCAGCCCACATCCGAGGACCCCTAGCCAGTCAAGAAAATAAAGACAACAAGTGAGGAGAAAATAGGAAAATAAAAGTTATAGTTGTACATGTTAATTTAATAAATAGAAGTTCGTCTATTATAGCATTTCAGTCAACATCTCTGTCTATTTTCTGTATATAGTGTGTACATTTTATAAAGATACTATCTATATAATGTACATATATGGGAAAAATGTTATCTATACTGCAGCCCCAGCATATTAAACTATATTTATAATTGACACATTGATTTATAGTAATAATTTTCAAAGGTATTTTATATATTAAAAAAAACAAAATGGTTTTTCTTTTCCGACTACGTTTGGCTCTTCTACCCGACCGATTAACATGATTGAGGTCTCAAACTGAAGGTATGCACATACAGATTAGCCATCAAGCATTTGCATATATTTATCTATAATCCCACTCGGCTTATGTGTAAACTAAATTTGCTCTCCATGTTCTTATGGGAGTTAAATTTGGTTTCTCTTTGCCAAATTCGTTTTGGCTCTCCTACCCAACCGATTTTCATGATTGAGGTCTCAAATTGAAGGTATGCACGCACAGATTTGCCATCAAGCATCGGCATATATTTATCTATAATCCCACTCGGTTTATATGTAAACGAAATTTGCTCTCCATGTATTAATTATGGGAGTAAAATTTGGTTTCTCTTTGTCAAGTTCGTTTTGGCTCTCCTACCCAACCGATTTTCATGATTGAGGTCTCAAACTGAAGGTATGCACATACAGATTAGCCATCAAGCATTGGCATATATTTATCTATAATCCCACTCGGCTTATGTGTAAACTAAATTTGCTCTCCATGTTCTTATGGGAGTTAAATTTGGTTTCTCTTTGCCAAATTCGTTTTGGCTCTCCTACCCAACCGATTTTCATGATTGAGGTCTCAAATTGAAGGTATGTACGCACAGATTTGCCATCAAGCATCGGCATATATTTATCTATAATCCCACTCGGTTTATATGTAAACGAAATTTGCTCTCCATGTACTAATTATGGGAGTAAAATTTGGTTTCTCTTTGTCAAGTTCGTTTTGGCTCTCCTACCCAACCGATTTTCATGATTGAGGTCTCAAACTGAAGGTATGCACACACAGGTTTCACACCAAGCATCGGCATATATTTACCTACTGAATTACTTGACTAAAAAACATAATTTGATTATTTTCAAATTCTTACATCAATTTAAGATGTATTTCACCAGTTATAATTATATAATCCTATATATTTTGATCTAAGAACTTTCAGTGAAATATCGGCTTTTATTTAAGCGATTAAGATACTGTATTGTTCAATCAAAAATCATAAATTTGATTATTCCTCGGATATTATATTTATTTTAACGCTGCAGAGCAGCATGGGTCCTCTAGTTTAAATTGAAAATTGTTTTGTTATTTATTTATTGGTATGGTTACCGACTATAAACATCACTTAAACTTTTTTACCACTAAATGTGGCCTAATGGTACCATATAATTATAAAATAATCAATATTCATCAAATAGAGTTCGTTGGGTGTCTAATCCAAGGATTTATAATGATGTTTCCTAAGTTTTCCAATAGGTAAAAGAAAATGATGAATTTTGAGCGTGCTCTAGCGTCAGTTTGGAATATCGTAGAAATAAAGTTATTATACGTATATTGTAGAGAATTTAGTGTACTTTAATTTAGTAAATGACAGTTATTGCAAAAAATACTCCGTTTGTGAGTTATACGCAAAAAAGTAAAACAAGTACGGTATTTTATTAGTTTTTTGCGATTTCTGAAGTTAGCTCACCTTTGGCGAGGTGGCAAAGTTTAAAATCGGATTCAGCGTCAAAAAATACATAAGAAACCACTGAGAAAAAAACTTCGGGAATTTTTTCCCGAGAAATTCCTTATATGATTGGACTATGAATGCAAGGCAAAAGTAGAATGTGAGATCTATGTTGCTTTGTCTGTGTTGACCATTATCAGCTGTTTCTCTATTTAGGACTATTTAAACCCGATGATCACAGACAGCTAGGCCAAATTTTGAACCAACACACTTTTCTCAGGATCAAACTGGTGTCCTCCTGTTTGTAACCACTAATCTCTCCAGCTACGTATGGAAATGTTCCGTTCTGTACTGATGTAAATTTACAGGTTTACGAAGGCCTGGTGCCAGTGTACACCTCGGGGGTTCACTCGGTCGGAGGTGACACCAAGCAGTTCACTGTCAATGTCGCTGGCGACCGTCGCAGAGGGCTTCAGTTGAGAGGAGATATCCTCCTCAAGTGTTACCACAGGTGAGTGTTAAAGACTTTGGATACAAGGAGACTTTCTATCTACTTATATCAGCTATAGACAATGTTTCATTCAATTAGAACCAGGAAGTTCATAGTTGAGTGAGCCAATCACAGAATGTGCAACTGTCAAAACTCTTTCTTTCTTATTTTTATACTCATTCATATGACCAAAAGATCCGGTAGCTTACAACAAGTTTTTTTTTCAGTTAGGCAGTGCTGGATTTACCACCAGGCCGATTTGGCTGTGGTCTAGGGCCACAGACCAAAGAGGGCACCACATCGTATTGTATAACAAAAATTTTGTTATCATCAATTTTCCACGGTTGTGGGTGATTGATGATGGTATCTTCGTGATTGCGGGAGATGTTCAAAATTTGTATAATATGGTTGCAAGGGACAATGATGATGTCCCTTTGATTGTGTGAGATATTAACTGTTTCGCTGCGATCGCGGGGAAGTTTCTCTACCTATGGGACGGGAAGTTTGGAAATCTGGCTATGGCCACAAGTACCCTAAATCCGGCACTTTAGTGATAGACTTTGTTACAATGTTGGAGCATAAATCAGAAATCTGCAACTATCAGCTCTTGCTAAGGCTTAATTCAAGTGTGTAGATTTCAATCAATCAATAGTCCAAGGTTTTAAACACACAGTCATTAAGAGAGAGTTTACACATGTAAACTTTTAGCTAATCTGATTACCGGAATAAAGTATTTTTTGTTAAATTATATATGAAATAGTATTTCATGTTATTGCCAACTTCGGTCCTCCAGGGCTTGGGTTCAGAAAACGCCAATCCCCAATGATTTATATCTATGTAGCAGCCTAGCTTAGAGTAATGTGTAAAACAGTTCCATTTTAGAGCCTACTTCCAAGAAAGATGAGAATCTGAAAGTTTGAAAAATAACTTTTCACAAGGATATTTGATCTGAAGAAGTATTTTTTAACTCCCAAGTTTACAATTATTTTAAATTCTTTTCAATATGTAACATTCAGAAAGCAGTGTGTTTCAGGAAGTTTACCTACCGGGTGATAAAGAAATGAAATGCTTCCTCTTCCTAATGCTTGGGGTCAGACCCTCTTCATCTAAACATCTTCATACGTAGGCTTTCGCGGCCGTTGTCGTTGAAATCCATGGTAATGGTTTTCGGCGTCAACCGCATCGTCAGTTGTATTAATTTCACGTCTGGCAGTGAAATACAACTGACGATGCGGTTGACGCCGAAAACCATCATCACCATGGATTCCTCTAAACATGTTCGTTTTTGCCCTACCAAAACAGAGATCAACTTACACATAGTTCTATGATGGTCATCAACATTGCATGTGTCAAATTCCAGCCCCCAAGGCCTTGTAAGTTTAATTTTACCTTCAACAGCCTTTTAAATTCATCAATTAGTCAAATGTTGTTTGTTGCAGACACTATTCGGCTGACTTGGACAGTCCATCAAGAAGTAGTTCTCCGAACGATTCAGACATCTTACCAGCTCGTGAGCTGATCTTCTCTTGTCAGTTCCACACTTGCGCTGTGTCTGACTATACTCTCAGCTTTACTCGACAAGAGCTCGATCATGCTTGGAATGGTAAATATCCATATTTAGTAAATCAAGCATCTTAGAATCTAAATATTTTCTAGTTTATGTGGTTCAACATCAACTTCTAATTCTTTTTTTCACCCTAAGGCTAAAACTCATCTTTGCAAATTACAATTAACTGGTGATTTAATCCAAGGTTTTTTTTAAAGATAAATATACATATTTAGTTATCTTGACAATTGTTTTGCAAATAACTTTTCAAAATATCAGTTAGTTTTAACTAATGAATTATTATCAGGGTAGAAATGGATTCATAATTGATTCGGAAACATTCTTAGTCAAATGATGTGTATTCCTAATGATTAACTACACCTCCGAACTCCTTGTTCACAGACCTGAGGTTTCCGCTGGATGGAGCAGTAGAACTCCATTTCTCCGCCACTCCTGATGGAGTGAGGTTCCCCCTCCCTGCCCCCACCCCAGCTGTGGCTGTTGACACGACACCTGACACGGTCACTCGCTGGGACAGCTACGAGAACCTCCTTCCAGAAACTGACACGGACGACATCCACGGTAAGTCTACAATGATTTTGTTTTACTTTTGCTAAGAGTTACCACTACAATATGTTTAGTGATAATTTGACATAGAGGTATGACATGTACCGGAAGTAAGAATAGATTTTTTGAATCTAAATTAACGATACTAGGTTAAAGTCAAAGTCAAAGACAAAATATCAGACGGATAGGTACTGTTATAAGGAAAACTGTTTATTTAGATAATTGGTATTGGCTAAAGAAATCCACATAGTCTTGGTCAGTAATGCTAGCAATACAATTTTGACGAGACATTCGAAGCAGACCTCTTAAGACAAAGTACACTCTTGCCGATGAATCTTGCCGAAGTGAACAAGGAAATAGTTCACTGTCGCTTCGCGTTGGTGGATTGGTACAGTTAGTTATCTCTATAGTTGGTTGGTCATTAAAGTGGAAGAGAACATTGACATAAAGCTTAGGGCTGGTGCACACTAGCCCGAACACGATCACAACCACGACCAAACGCCCGACCGGTCGTTGTTGTTCACCAAACTTCAGTGTCAACTTGGGTCTCAAAGAAGTGGCTGAATGTGTAGTGTTCTCACGTCCACTAAACATCAGCGTGATCTCCTTTAAAGCTTCCTTCTTCATCCCTCTGTTGGCATAATCTGCCGATAGATCCTATAAACCAGACTTTTCTTTAATAGCCATAGTAAAACTCTCAGTGTCAAAATCCTGCCACATTTTACAAAAGAAGTCACTTCACAAACCACACAAATAGAGTGCTTGCTTTTTGACTGATCTAGGAATACTGGGGTGTACTGGTCAGGTTGGAGACAAGTCGGGGTTATGTGTGTTGTCCCATTACAATAATGTGTTCTATTTTTGGCTGAAACAGCCAGCAAGTCGGGCCCGACCAAAGTCTTTGCAGTTTGGTGCGACCAGGGTCCATCCAGGGTCCGACCAGTCGACCAGTGTGTGCTGTTCCATTTACGCCTATTATAAAACTTGCCGTATCCGACCGGTCGGTGTTGTGGTCGTGGTCTTGGTTGGGATAGTGCGCGCCAGCCCTTAGCAGGTTCACCATTTTATGTCTATTTATTCTTATTATATTTATGTGCAGAATCCCAAAGAATAACATTTCCATATTGAGCTCTGTCTTCGAGGAATCAAAGCAAGATTCCATATGACCACCCCATTTCAACCACACAACAACATCACAAAACAGTGTGGTAAATTGATTATTTACGAGCCTAAGTACAGTTAATGTTTTCAGGGGTGTCTCGTGTTCTTGGGTGAACTTGTGATTATATTACCTGAGCTCTGTAACTTGTGCCAAAAACCAAAACCCTCCAATTATGAAGCGAGCACATTAACCTGATTTAACCAAACATTAAGCTTACCTCAGGGATAGTACATCTCAGTATGAGATAGATCTATTTCATACAGATGAGCAGCAACTAGCAAATCTGTCACCTCACACCATGTTCATGTCATCAAACACATGTTTGCTATGCATTTCCAGCAAATCAGTCTACAAACATTTCACGGATGTCATAGTTTAGTCCAAAATCCAAGATTTATTTTCTTTGTGTCTCAAGCGAGAAAATTTATCTTGCATTTGAACTGTCAGGCCAAGTGATGCATCAGTGTGTGTGAAGCAATTTGTAAATTGTCATAAACGCAAACAAGTGGAGTTTGAAGTGAAATGAAGCAGTAGTTGGCACGGCGACCACCCACTGTACCCAACTAATTGATCTTGCTTCATTTGTATCCCACAATGCTACATTTGTTGCTAGTCGGATGCGGCGAGGATAGTCAAATTGGTTTTTTAATTAATCGTGTTGGTTTTATTTAAACCTCTATTAGGATATAATGAATAATTAGGCAAAACTTTTAATGAGAGGTTTCAGTTTTTTTTCTGGATAAAACACTTTTTTTATTTTAAAAAATTGTGTCCAATTACATACTTTAAATGAAAATTTAAAAGGGGGTATTCTTAAATATCTAGTTTTACCGAGCAAAGGAATAAATAATGTGTTAAAGAGTAGTATTGAACCCTTTCCATAAATTATAATAAATGAAATCGATTGTTCAAAAATTTATCTATAAACAATAAAACTGACAAGTGCGCTGACTCATATAATGACGGTAACGATCCCTTCTATAACTCAAAATTGCTAGGATTATTGGGCATATTTTCCTACTGTATCGTTGAATTCCTACAAAATTGACTACATATCAAGATATTTTGAGTAGCTTTAAATTCTTAGCGACCTAGAAATTCTGGAATTCTTTCACGGAAAAAGCTTAAATTTCAGTCAGACCTTGTTGCTAATTTTTATAACTTATTTCACCCATAAATCGAGGTGTGTCATCCTAAATTTTTAACAGGAAAACAAATTATGGAGCAATAAAAAAGATTTGTTCGCAAATAAATCACAAAACTATATTTCACCTACTTAAACCCTGTGACTTAATTCTTGGCAGACAAAGTATTGTGTCAGATATGAGGCAACTTTGGACTAAGAATACTTTGTGTGGCGAATCCACTGTTGGCAGCACTTCTGTGTGACTCAGTAGCAGGCTTGCCAACCTACGCTCAATCAGGTGTTCATATCTATGATTTGATATGTCAGTCTATGCATTGCCAGTTTTGAGTCACATAAATCTTCTCTTCTTCTGGGTGAATTCGGCAAATTAGAGATATTTTTCCTCGTAGTGGGAGAGAAGGGATTTTAGCAATTCACTATTGTTTGACTTTTTGCCATTGCAATTTGGATACTCAAGTAGAAATCCCATCCAATCCAACCATGTAACGAATTTTGTATACAAAAATCAATGTTGAATGAGGCATTTAGAGTGTGCAAAAGTCTAAAACTTAATTTTGTCTCTTGTTTTGTTTACTGTGATAGTTTATGTGACATGATATGTGCTATATCTTATTTAAAATGTTACCTTTCAGTTTTTCTTGGTTGTAAAGTTAGCATATTCAACAGAAATTGGTAATTTATAAAAGTGCACACTGTCAGTGGCAATTCTACTATTGTTCATTTCCATTTTAATTATAAAACTTGGTAAAACTTTAACAAGGTAATGGCATGTCTCTATAAATAGTCAAAGAATCCTTTGCACTGAAATCATAGAAAATCTGTTAGTGGTCAGCCGCATAGTAATGATCCAAAAAATCTGTGCTTAAAGGACTTGATCATGACTAGGTTCCTGATTGAATGAACTTGTTATGGAAATTGTCACATGCTGTACATATTTCTTAGCAAATCAAAGTGGACCTATTATTTATTATTCACTCAATTGCGACTAAGCTGGTGGTTACGTATGCAGAGTATTTTTTCAAATATACATGAATTACTTAGTATAGGATCAAGTTTGATATGATCGGAGTAATAATATTTGTTTAGTATCTATAATACAAATTAATACAAAATTGTTTTAGGATAGTGTAGGGTAAGGTAAAATAAAAATTGCTGTATGATTGTGTGTGGTATTTAAAAAACCCTAAATGTCATCCTACTCTATGTTAAATGTAAAAAAATATTGGTTTTGATTGATTGCTTGATTGATCAAAGAATCCAGTTGTGCATGATTGGATTTACATTCAAAGTTTCAGAACACATTACGGAATTTTTCAGTCAAACTATGGGATAAAGTTGTAATTACACGGGACTTGTGGGATCGTAGGTTACACAACGTTCTGCTCCGTGATCAGACGACGTCGCTGGCGCCAAAGTGTCAAACCAGGGAAAATATTACTTCCTTGGCCCGCCAAGCTTTAACTTTATTATTAGCTCCTGGTTTGTGGAAATAATCAGAGATGTTGATGTACAAATCGCTCAAACGCGAAATACCGACATCAAACAAGTCTTTACAGAAGAAAACATAACTTCAAAAGCCATCGGTTTGCGAGTGGAGTGGTGTCAGATGTGTAAACAGTTATGCGGTTCGAAAAGTATTTTGTCTAAGACAATATTAATGACATATAAATTACATGCTATAATTAATCAAAATTTTTAATTTCTCGTAACCAGTATAAACTGTTTTTTTTTTCAACTACAAAAACACAATGTTTTTATTGTAATTGTATTTCTTTTTCCTTATACCCTATTTGGTTAATAGTATAAACACATTATTACATTGATGGTTTTGAGTTAGTTTAAAATAAATTAAACTTCCAATTTATAATAGGTTATTTAGTAGTTTTTTTTGTTTTTTTTGTCCCACATTCTAGGATTCCTAGGATTGTAGGTTCTAGCCTGTAACAGTTTTACACATTACTTCAGGCTAGTCCTAGAGGGCTGCGACATTGTCACATGGATAAAATCCATCGGTGATCTGTGGGATTTGTACTCACGACCTCAGGCTCTGAAATCGCACGCTCTACCACTAGACCAGCTCCCCATTGTTTAGAAATACTACAAATCAAAATCTTCTTTGAAACTGTCTAGCACTTGATTAATAAGTAGGACTAAAAGTTCATATACTGTACAAACCATTATATAAATTATAATCAAATTTGACCAAAACTTCAATGTTAAATTACTTAAAATATACGGGGGGACAGAAACTGTAACATCAACATTCGTACAAACACCGAGATAGACAGACAGAAAAACTCTGCCAACAAACTTCAAAGAGGTAACCATCCCCAGAATGTGAAGAGCTATAAGTAGCAACAGATTTAAATTTGTTCTTTCAAGGCCGCATGAAAAATAGGCCTCTGCCTAGGTTAGACATTTTGTATCAGTTGAATGATGAGTTATAATAATGCAACTTTAAAATTATTCCTCGTGTTATACTTCACTATTTTGTGTAGTCACTACACGAGATGTGGTTACAGCTAGAAGGGTTTTCAGTACCCTATCAGCCACAACAAAAAATTATGTGATGGGTTAGTAGCTCTTTAACTGATCAAGATTAAGAACTACTTACTTTTTAAGTAGGCCATCTTCTATATAAAGCTAATGAAGATAAGGAACTTGTGAGAAAACTGTAAGCCGCACACCTATCAACTGAATACTTGGATGAAAGGTCTTAATGTGAAACGTCCCTGTAAAATATCAGATTTTCCAGGACCTCAACTAAAGGGGCATCATTTTATTTTTTATCATTCATCTTTTGATTCTCATGTTTAAAGTAAGCAAAAAAGTATAATTGAGATTTGTATGAGCCATGGTAAGTGTGGAACTGTTTTTAC